TGGAACTCACTTTCTTACCACAAGAGAGAGCAAGCGGTACAGAGAATCTAATGACTGTGTTGTTATTGCAGAAACGCTCTCTGTGTCAGGCTTATCAGCCTAGGTGTATGCAGTGATCGCTGAAGAGTGTGATCTGTGTGTTGCTGTGTGGATATAGGCTCAACACATCAGCAGCCTTTTGGGATCGGTCCATTAAAATCTTTGTCAGACGTTCAATGAGATACATGTTTTGTGTTTATGGTATAGCTGAAATGTATTAGTATACATACTGGAGTAAGAAGTGCTTAGTCAGCCCTTGGCTAATATTTCTCATTTCCTGGTGTAAGCATACAGAATAAAATCAGTCAACTTACTTCACATTCTAGTCCTCACTGCTTCAGAGAAACAAGAGTCTGTAAGAATATATACCCAATATGACCCTCAAGTCCCTGCAGTCCAGAATGGGTATCCATGGCAACCGATTTGACTTCAACGTCTAGCCGATGGTCTTGTGTCAAAGTGATGACAGTGTTTGCTTTGACGTGTTTTCTCTTGACCAGTGTTAACATAGATTCTGCCTGATGTCCTTGGGTTAAAATAGGCAGTTTCTTAATATTGGAGTTCACGAATGAATCCACCCCATACACGACGGCACGACTGCTGCTGTGGTACAGATCTTTCTGGAAGAATATTCTGTAGGAGTTGTGAGAACATTCACATCTAAGGTGTGAAGATGGAATGTGATTTTGAATTGCTGTGTTGGTGTGTCGCTGCTGCAGAGCAGGATTTCTGGAGGATAACAACTTGTGTTGAAACATAATCACATTTGATTGTACCCCAGCTGCGATGTGCTGACTAACCCTCGTGATACATTTGCATACATAGTAATCGTTTTAAAAGGCTAGAGCTTAAAGCTCCATGTTTACATGTTCATGATGGATGAAATCCCTCTTACCCTCCTCATAGCAGATTCTGACCTCATTAGCAACCATTTGATTGTTTTTATAAAGAAAAGCACCTCCTTGCATACTCCTGGAAGTTTCAGCGTTTCTGTGGACTTTAGTTGAAGTCCCCTCTGTTGTCGAAAGCTTATGTGCTTGATCTCCTGATGTGATGCACCACTTTCAGATCTCTGGTATGGAGCTTGAGGCTTGATTTTCATCACTGGTGAAGATCCTGAAAACAATTGGGTCAGTTTGACACTGAAGTTGATTTCCTTACTAAAACTGTAGATATGCAGCACTGAAAGCAGTCCATGCATATCCACATTATCTGAAAGCAGAGAATGTCTAGATTAAATTGGTCCTCATACGTTGCTTAGATGCTACAACCTAGTCAATAATCTTCTTCTACATCTTCTTTGCTGTCTTCTGCTCCTCCTCCTCATTGCTTTTGTCAACCTTTCATCATTGAAGTTAATTAAGTGTATTGTATTGTAATTGATCACGCAGTTCTGCATTTCTGTCCTGCCTGGGACAGATGCTGGACACACTGGAGGGATTATATCTGGGAACATAATGGTGTCCCCATGGAGGTGTTGGAGCAGGTGGCTGGGGAGATCAGTGCTTAAACTGCTATCCCCACATTTAGTTGTAGATGCATGAATTGATCCAAATATATGCGTGAGCATGTAGTGTATTTACATTTCTACACAAAGGGAATCCAATTTGACTGCAAAATTGACTTTTTGGAAATCTAATTACTGCTAGAACGGTTGGAGGTAACCAGATTACTGCAGCATCTGCAGAAAAAGTGACTAGATGTTTGATTTACCACCTAGAGTATGTATTTCCTATCACTGATTGGATAGTTTCAGCTCACTTTGAAAGTGGGATTTTCCCATAAACTATCATGTGTGCTCTCTAAATATGAATTCTAAAATTTTGAATTTTCAAAGGATGATTTTTGACTTTATAGATTGTAATGTACTGTAATAATCTTTCAAGTCAGTTCAGTTCAATTTTATTTACACAGCACCAAATCACAACAACAGTCGCCTTAAGACACTTTATATTGTGATGTAGACCCTACAACACTACAAATAGAGAAAAACCCAACAATCATATGAGCCCCTATGAGCAAGCACTTTGGCGACAGTGGGAAGGAAAAACTCCCTTTTAACAGGAAGAAACCTCCAGCAGAACCAGGCTCAGGGAGGGGCGGGGCCATCTGCTGTGATTGGTTGGGGTGAGAGAAGGAACACAGGATAAAGACATGCTGTGGAAGAGAGACAGAGGTTAATAACAAGTGTGATTCAGTGCAGAGAGGTCTCTTAACACATAGTGAGTGAGAAAGGTGACTGAAGAAGAAACACTCAATGCATCATGGGAATCCCTCAGCAGCCTCCACCTATTGCAGCATAACTAAGGGAGGATTCAGGGTCACCTCAACAATCTTGTTGATCGAAGAAGGATGGACAAAAAATCCAACTATACCTGCAAGTTTTAATTTTGTGTTTAGTTCAGATTGCTTTCATGACTTTGTGTGCTGTTTGGATTATTTAGTTTAATTAGTGAGAGAAAGAGCATAAAAACAGGCGCACAAACTCGGTGTGTTCCCTAAAGAAATAAACTCATCACTAAAGGAAACTTCACACAGCCACTCTCACTTGCTCCTCTTGCCAGACTGCTACTGGGAAAGTTTGAAAGAGATGCATGTGTGAATCATACGAGGGGGTGGATAATGAAGAGGATGAGATGGTGAGAGAATTTGATAAAGATTAGATAAAGAAATGAAGAGGAATTGTAGAAGAAGGAAAAAAGAGGAAAGGCAGGAAGTTAAGCTACAGTGCCAGAGCAGGTGGAGTCGGTGCGGATTTAAGCTCAGCCGCAGAGATTATGGCGTCAGACAGGGTTAACAGCCACTGCCAATCCAGTGTCCCTTCTTCTGCCTACGCTCTCATCCAATGAGTGCCTGACCCTGAAAGGCAAGAGCACTGAGCGAGTTTGACCAAGGTTTGTCTGTAGAGAGCTGGAGGACACGAAGACATGATGGAGAATATGTCTGCTTGCAGCCTGAGCTCTGCTCGGACGGCTGAAGGCTTGTCTGGACTGACATGATTTGGGTGTAAAGCATGATTTGGGATCTTAAACTGCCGGCAGTACTTAACGTTGGAACATTTTCTTTTAAGATTTAACCTTAAGGAGTCCAAGGTATAGTATTAAGTAGTACAAGCTGTCACAGCAGTTGAAGTAGTGCTTGGTGGAATTGGAGACAGTGAAGGCAGAAGAGTAACGTAGTTTGAAGCCGCTCACCTGACTTCCAGCGCTAGCCTGTTTAGTGATTTGTGCTGTCTTGTGTGCTTTTGTGCTTATATACTCCATGTAAGGTGGCTCTCACGAGGACAGAAGGGAGCTCACACCAACATAAAACCACTTTTACTCATCAGAGTATGAATGTGGACTGAAACAAGAGATATGTATGTTGTTTGATTTACTGTAGGAAGGAGGAGTACAGCAGAAGAATGATTTAAAAAGCCTCCGTGCTCCACAGCTAATCTCAGGCTTACAGGGTCTAAGACTATAGACGTTTTACTGCGTGTGACTCTTGAAGGTGTTTGAGTCTTACTATTCTATCAATAGGTTTTTGTTCACTTTTGTGATTGACTACAAAACATGATAATAACTTCTGACTTTTGTTTTTTCAATAACTCAACAAACAGCTGTATTTATTGCAAACATAGTGAAGAATAACAGGAGAGTTAATGAACTTTGCTTTGTTTTGAACCGTGACACCATGTAAAGCATCAACAGTGGTCAGATCAACTTAATGTAATAGCAACTTTGCTCTGGACAAATAAGACTAAGAGTCTTAGTGGCTCCTTGAGGCCGTATTTAGCCATAGGAACATCTCGAGCTGACATGCTAACAGTGGTGTGCTATTGCTATCATCACAATGCAGAGTATTCACCATCTTCAGCTTAAGTTCATGTGCAGCTAATAGAAACAGTATTGATCAAATGTAAAGTTGTGCCTCAATGATGGCCTATCATAACGTGCCAAGTAATCATCGAAAACATCCCAGAGAGTGACAAGAATATCTTTTCTGTTTTTTTTTAAGTAAATGTCACATACATGGTTGTATTGGTTGCACTGGATCCTTATTTCCAAATTTAAAGCAGCATTCAGTGGCTTTCAAGACAGTTTATGTTCAGTTCTCCTGATGACGAAACAGAACAAGGACATCATACCGATTTTACGTTGTGGGCCACGTACAGTGTCATGAACACTTTGATCTTCATTCAATTCAGTGTCACTTGTATAGCACTAAATCAAAAGCAGCTGTCACCTCAGTGCAAAAGTGTGAGTAGGCCTTACCAGTGAAACTCCTCTTTGTCACTGTAAAGAAGTTTAGAAGACAAAACGCCAAAACACAGGCTTAACAATGTGGTGTATGTTGTACAGTGCAGCGAGGAATGCCCAGACCTCTACATCGGAGAGACCAAACAGCCACTTCACAAGCGCATGGCACAACACAGAAGAGCCACCTCCACAGGACAAGACTCAGCAGTCCATCTGCATCTTAAGGATAAAGGACACTCTTTCGAGGATGCCAATGTTCACATTTTGGACAGAGAGGACAGATGGTTTGAAAGAGGAGTGAAAGAAGCATCTATGTCCACTGTGAGCGACCATCTTTGAACAGAGGCGGGGTTTACGACACCAACTCTCTGCCATCTATAATCCAGTTTTGAGATCCCTTCCCAGACACCTTAACGCCCACTCACATCCTGGGCCATCTGACCTCAGGAATTCACATGATAAGGTGGGGCCAGGTTTCACAATGAACACACCCGAAACTCTGGCTGACTGGGACCCACACCCAGTTTCACACCTTGGCTCAGGCGATTAGAGGATCATGAGGGGGTCCTTTTGTCCCTCTGTGGGGGGTTTCTCCCACTAGGTTTATATCTGGGACTCTCCACCATTTGACCTTAGAACTGAAGAAGCTTCTCGGATGAGAGGTGAAACGTCTTCAAGCAACTTAAAGAAGTCTTTGCAAGCTCCTTTGACTACGATGACCTGGATGACTGAGAACCTTCACAGACATAAAGAAGTTTAAATACACATTTAATCCGTTAGATATTTAAAGAAACAGAAGTGTAGTGTCAGGCTTAAATTATAAGAAACAAATGTGTAAAATTACTGAAAAGCTTCTGTTAGCTAATAGCCCAGGCTGTCATGTGATTATAAAACAGAAACATCTTGTTAAAGGATAAACTTTTTAGGTTCAAAGCTTAAAGGTGGGGCTTTTGTTCTTTTCTTTTGAATGTATGAAGAGTCCGCCCTGGGTAGCCTGGATATAGCTGGGAAAATGACCCAGATGATGACTAAATTTAGAAAAAGACTATCATGTGACTCAGAATGCCTTTGGAGTAACCAAAATGGGCATTTCCTCCTCTGCAAGCAGGTTAATGAGGTCTGGGATGTGAATTATACACGCAGACCATCTAATTAGCTGTATTAATTAAAGCACGGTTGAGGCAGGCAGCGCTCACATTTATCAGCTGTAGATTGATTAGCTACGTTGGGGACAGATGTTTTGGAAGGGATTACACTCACAAGTACTTCACAAGTTATCTCGGCTGAAATGTCCATAGACAGCTGGCAGGCAAGGCTTTGCGAGATGCCAGCAGATTTCTAGATTCCTTGCAAAGGTCTAGAATGAAAGAATGAATAGGACGGGTGAGATTAAAGGTGGCAGAGGACTGCAAGGAACAAGAGCTGATAATGTTCTTCAGTGTTGGGTTTCAAATCTAAGACCCAGGCCAAATGTGTTCCTTCGCTCTTAGATAAATAAACGAGTTATCAGTGACTGTGTTTATATGAACCATACTGATGACACTTATCTTTCATTGGCCTTCAGCTTTGAACCTAAAAAGTTTATTCTTTAAAAAATCCTGAACACATTCACTGCGTGTATAAGAGAACTAAATCTAAAATAATCCACATGTATCAGCTTCTGTCGCATTTCAGACGAGACCAGAGGTCAGCTAGATTCATGGTGCAGAGGTACCATTTATAGAAAGTGCTCAGTGTGTCACAGATGTGTGCCAACAAAGCACTTTACAGTCAGTGTCACCTACAGGCACAGACAATGCACCTGGTTCTAGCTCTATTTACTGTACCTGTGTCCAGGAGAAGCACATGTTTCAATGCGGCATTCAGTGGCTGCGCTGCAGCCCGGAGCCTTCTGTGCCTTTGAACACTAAAGCTTAACCCGGCAGTGCTGACAGGCTTTCTTATTTCCCTGTGCAATGTGGGAATAAAAGGGTGGTGTGAGCAGTGGTGTGACAACAAACTTCCTTCTGTCCTCAGAGCATCTGCTGTGTGTGTGTGTGTGTGTGTGTGTGTGTGTGTGTGTGTGTGTGTACATATTTGCAATCTGATGACTCGTTATAGCATAGCAGGTAGGTTTACAAGCTGTAGTTATTTGTGTTGTCAGACAGAATAGGGAATGAAAAAGGGACATTTCACTGCAAATTAATTTGGCCATTTAAAGCAGCAGCAGCCAGCGAGGAAGCTTTTCTGACTCAGTCATACTAAACGAATCCAGACAACACGGTGCACATCGACTGTACAGACATTCTCTTATTAACCCTGCCTGCTTACTGCTGTGAATGCTTCGAGTAATTTGAAGTCATTAGCTCGATGCTGGACTGAATTATCACCGTTCCCATCTTCAGTCTAACACTGCCTCTTCTCTGATGGCTATGGAGAAGGGAAGTGAACATTCTTTTACTAATCTTTGAAGACCAGCATAGCGGAGCACTCAAAGAATGGTTCGGCATGTGTCTCCATCAAAACAACCAAGAACTGAGTGATTAAAACATCACTGTTGTACCCTGAGTGACTTAGTAATCGTTAGCCCCCCCATGGATCGGGGGGGGGGGGGGACACAGCTAGGTCAGTTAGTGAATTAGAACATCTGAATAATGATTATTCAGCCTGAATAATCACAGTATTAACAAAGAAGGTGTTTTTTGGATTCACATTTGCCCATCATATTAAATGTAAACAGAACAGGGCAATGGTGAAAAAAACCCATCCTAGAAGCCACTGACTCTGCAGCAGCTTCAGGGGAGTTTGATTAAGTAACGTGATCATCGTTTTTTTACTTTTTATTCTGAAGGTCATGAACAAACTCTAGACCTTATACATTTGTGAGCAAAACTTGCTTCAGTGCAAAAGGAAATGTCAAAAATTAAAACTTTGATAACTGGCTAATCGACATTTGCTGAAAAAATAACAGCTACTGATTGATTTCTTACTTTCTAACGTTCAGACTAAGATGTCTGCTGACCACATGGCAATCATGTAATACGTTTATAATGGACTGAAGCTGAATATGAGTCCTACGTTTATACCCTAATTTTCTAAATTACTGTTAAATGTTTTGATGCAGCTTTGACCTCCTCAGAATTTGGCAAACATAAACACTCAACAGTTTAAATATTTTCCCAACCCTGCCTCAGTGCTGGCAGAGTAGATGAATCAAACTATTATCTGGCAATCCCACCTTTTCATTCGCAGTGGCTGTCATGCTGGCTAACAGCAGTGATGCCACAGCTGCTTCCACCGCAAGACTTTGCTGCGTTAGCCAGGAGTATTGGTAAGAGGTTGAGCTTATCATCTGGCATCTGTGCCTTATAAAAGTCTATTATTTGCCATGTTAACTACATTTATTTTTAATCCTTTTAATTTGTTTCTGTGTCTTCCTTAGTTGTTGTGAGGGCATGAAGGGATCCTTATCCTCATATTTCTTCCTGTAATTTACCTTCATCTGCTGATGTCAAAGGATTGAACGAAGACACTAAATTCAGCTGGAGAAATATTTTGACAATAATAAGTATGGTAGACGTCAGAGACATGCCACCCCAGTGACTAATCCCGAGTAAGGTTGAAAAGCGGTGAAGTGTCCCTTTGAATCTGAAATAATGACTAAGAGACGCAGCAAGAGATTGAGCTGAAGTGAAAGATGAGATGCGGAACATAAGGGCTGTTTTCAAGCTAAGATGCGGCTCCCCTACCCATCCCGAGGAGAGGGAGTGGGAGGGGCTCAGCTTATTCGTTATTAAGTACTTACAGGCTGCTGCTTTCATACACACTCACAGGGCACAGATTGAGTGAGAGAGAGGGAGGCAGAGAGAGAGAGGGAGGAAGAAAGCAGTCGGCTGAAGGAAGCGTAAAGGAAAGCAGCGACTGCACCGGTCCAATGCCTGCTATCTGAACCGCTCTGTGTTTCTGTTTGTGTGTGTATGTGTTGCTGGTTGGGATATTCGCTTGCACACTAGCTGTGTGGGGAAGATCGGATTGTATCCCGATACCCTTCGACCTTCCACCTTTAAGTTTTCCTTACCCACCCCTCACTCCTTCCCTCCCGTCGGGGGAGCTCCTGGCGGCCCCATGATGAAGGAGGAAGGCCTGCTTAGTCGTCGCCGTTTCTCCACGTGCGGCGGGACGGCATCGCTTCGACCTCCACACCCGGACGGACGCAAACTCATCCGCAATGCCTCGTTCGGGGGCTATAATGAGCTGTCACCCATCTCGCTGCCAGGTGGGTGCACAATGGCGTGGAACGTCTCGCAAAGCTCAACGCTGGGAAGTGATGCAGGCTTATTAGTAGGTTTGCAGATGATTGACTTCTGACCTCTGCTACTTTTTGGCCTTGTGTCCTAAATACAGTAGTTGTACTGTTGGTATTGGTTTACTGTGGTCCTGAGAGTTTCGAGAACCACCTTAAATTCTGTGCAATGGGATGTATTCATGAAAGGAACCGATTCTGTCGACTGCATCATAGAAGGATTTGTTTGTAGGTGTTTCGAAGGGATACGTGTGAAGGCAGAGACAAACTTTTGGATGGGGTAAAACACCAGAATTCTTAAAATGGGTACATTATTTGATGCTTTTAGGTTTTCCTCAAAGGCATTTATAGTGTTGACTGCTTTTATTCTCACACCCAGACAATCACTGCATAAGTGTGTCAGTTGACTCAGTGAAAAAGTCATTTTTAACATTCAGCAAATACATGAATTGAAACATATGAAGACTCAAATCATTCTGATTCATGTTCAAAGCAGGGAATTACAAAGTTGAAAGATAAGTCATTATCAAACACCATGACACTCACTTTGATTGGTTGTAACTTAAACTTGCCTCAGCTCTGAGGCACATTGAATCAACTAGCAACGAGAGCAGAGGACACTGTTGCTGTCAACAACAGAGCTGTCAAAAGATTAGAGGCAACGCAACAGGCATTGTTTCTCTTTGAAGAGTGCAGCACTGGGCTTTATCCTACGTATGCATTTCTTTTTTGCTTGGTCATTGTTGAGAGATGATGCTTGTCTTAGAGGACTTTTCCTGCTCTCCCCTCTTTCAGAGCCACACACACAACCATTTACAGAGTCAGGAGATAGCCTTCCCTTCAACTGGTTTAGCTTTACGCGGGTTCCTGTGATACCTCTATTAGAGTGCAGTGATAATCCTTATTTTTGAAAGTACACTTAATCCCAGAGAACATTTAGGATTAAATCAGTTTTGTGTTCACTTCCTTTTGTTTATCCTGCTGAAAATGATGTAAACCTGGAGGCAGACAGCTGGCAGGCGCAAGAGCTTTCAGAGAGTGAACGTCCTCTGTTCCACTTTCACAAGTAACCGTTTTAACCTTTATGAATCCAGGAAAGGCTGACTGTGCACTAGAGCAGGGCGATATGACCAAAAATATTTATCACTATATACATTTGAAAATTTGCGATGACGATATAACTGATGATATAATTGACGCTAGACAAAATACTTTACAACTCCACAACTTTATTAGTGCAAAAAACCCCATCAATGTATTTTCACTGAAACAAGCAGCTGTTTTTTATGTGCATTAAAGTTCTATAAAAATGTAACAGTGCAAATTCCTCGCTGACAGTTTAACCAAAAGGCATTTCCAGTGGAAACTGGCCGACACATCCTCAGCATAACCATGTAGAATATCCACAACACTTAAAAAGAGGTTATACACACACAGTACGGTAACATTATGTTGAAGCACAGTACGTATCACTCCGCGAGGCTCCGCCTACGATAGCCGTAATGCTCCAACAATCCATCAAGCGGTGCGGCTTCGTAGCTCAGCAAAGTCGCAATGAAACACTTGACAGATTTTCGAGCGCCGTGCACATAAAATCATTTCGAGGTCAGTAAACACAACCAGAGTTCATACATAAGGCACACGGGGTTATAAGGGGCTCTGTCGAAAAATCAAAGGATTGATTTGAAGTGTGCCGTATTTTCCAAACAACACGGTAATAACGGCGGCCCGCTAGCATGCGCTACCAAAAATAGTGCTTTGTTGTGTATCTGATGGACGAAAGCTAAACCAGTTCCACACCACTGAAGCTGCAGCATTTTTACAAACCAGTTCTGGTTCATCCGTTTCATTCAACGATCCGCTTTCGCTCTTCTCAGTCGCCGCCATGTGCGTATGTAAACATAGGCACTGCACATATTCTATCGCGATATTTCATTTTCCTATCGTTGCCCAAAATTACACCGGTATTACCGTGAACGGTACGATATAGCCCGGCCCTACTGTGCACAAACTCTTTTCAGCATCATACTGTGATTCAGACTTTCACAACGACCTCAGTCCTCTACTGTTTTCTTTGTGTGCAGCTCTCCCAGTTCAGCACTTTGAGCCATGTCAGTACCATGGTCACAGTGGTGGTCTTTCTCTCCTCGGTCGCTCTGCGTCTGCTTCTTTCCCCTTTAAAACAGCAGCTTCTGCAGCTACGTGTATATTTGGAGCTACGAGACATCGTCTGAGTCATACTCTGTTTCTCACAGTCAGCTCCCAGCCTTAGCTCCATTCATCTTTATTTTAGACATTCTGCTGCAGGAGACATGTGGTGCAGACGGGTAGACTCATTCATTTTCTGTGTTTTTGACAATCTCTTAATATATCTACATGTTTTTTTTGTTTTGTTTTTTACACCCACATTCCTCCAGTTGCCAGTTGACATGACCCTCTGAGACACTTTTCCTTGTTGTGTGTTATTCCTTGTACACTGAAATACATGCTTGCCAGCTGACTTGGTGTTTTTAGTCTTTTCACTTCCTTTTGAGGTTGGGGCTCTGTATTTTCATTACTAGGAGCAGCCGTACCACTTCAATGACAAACACTTTGTTTAACAAAACCGATAAGGGCGAAATTACTAATGAATATTCTTTCTTTGTTTCAATCTGTCAAATAGAAGATTTTTCTTCTCTGCTTTGTCGTGAGACACAACAGGTGCTAAAACAAATAGTTAGCTGCTGTCCCAAAACTCTGAAGGCAATCAGTGCTGATGAAGGCAGAGTCACCAAGCAGCAGTTATAAGTGGAGGTGTCCACAGTGCCTGAGGCGAGGACGAAGATCCGGAGAATACTTGTAATTTTGTGTCCTCTTCCACTAATTGAAACTAAATGAAAGAGGCAGACTGGGAGGAACCCAGCATGCATGGCAAGCATAAAAACACTCTGGAAGTTTCCTAGAAGCAGAAAAGAACACGACCTTAAAAAGGGGCGATAGATTCATTGAAACTGAAGGTAAACTCTCTGAATAGTGACTAAGAGAAAACCTTCAACTTTTCTTATCTTCTTTAATGTATCTCCATTTGTAAACGATGGCTAGTGGGTGGAACAGGAAATCTTGGGTCAGATATCCACTGGTTGTTTCGGAAGCCTCGGAAATCACCCCCCCCCGCCCCCCCCCCCCCAAAATAATATAATAATAATAATAATAATAATAATAAAAAAGTAAAAATAAAACTAGAAGTCGTGACACCATCCTGAGTTCCACATTTGGATCTGCCTAAACCTTCCTCCCACTTTATCAGCTGACAAGCCAAAATGTCATTACCTGCGGTCTGGGGAACAGTACCAGCACCTGCCAGTGTACATAAGCTCAGGTGAAATATAAATAGACCAAGACAAAAAACAGCAGCTGTGGTAATACAACCAGCCTAATGCCCTCTCTGTCATCCATACACATCCTGTTTGAAATACTAACCTTTTTTAAAAGATAATATGCTGTTGTCTCCTCACATCAGGATAAAAGTACAGCACTGTGGATCAGAGGTTTATGTGCCTGCTTTTGCAGTGGTAAGCTAAGGCTGCATAATAAGCAGGTTTGAAGGCCATCGTTTACAAATGGAGATACATTAAAGAAGATAAGAAAAGTTGAAGGTTTTCTCTTAGTCACTATTCAGAGAGTTTACCTTCAGTTTCAATGAATCTAAAAGAAACCTGGGCTCAGCTGCACCTAATGCTCTAACCTTGTATTGAAACGTTGTATTGTTCATCAGCCCATCACTAAGTGAGAGAGCACGCCCTTAGTTCTTCGGTAGTCAGAGATTGAGTGCAGCGGAAATTGATTTAGAGGTTGAAACTTGGCTTTGGCAAAACTAATAAGAGAGTGGAAAAAACTGCATGCCTGCGGTCCATAATTAGATAGTCCCTGCTCATCTTCAGGTCAGCATGACCTAGCACATTGTATGGTGGATAGGATACTCTTTTTAGATTATCAAGAGGAAGTGGCACATTACAGTGTCTATGCATAGTTATGCCGATTTGTTTTAGTTTAAACGGGAGTTCCTTTCGAAACATGAAGGGATTAGTTCAGTTCTCATGGGAAAGATGACCTGGCCTAAGAAAACATTTGAACAATGTCATCTGTGGTCCAGTAACTGTGGGAATAAAACAGTTTCTGTCAACATCAAACACAACCTGAATGAATGCACGCATCGAGTGATTCAGATCCATGCTAGCTGGTTCTGCATATCATCCTCACCTCTCCTCGCAAAGCAATTGCAGCTACATGCAGCAAAAACGTCTTTGTGGAGGAACAGAGAGCATTTGAAATTAAATTTGTAGTGGTTAACACATTTGCCTTACATGTCTAAGATCAGGAAAGAAATCAAGAGGTCACAACCTTAGTGTGCTCCTAGTCCCAGTCCCAAGCTCGGACAAATGGGAGTGTTGCGTCAGGAAGTAAAATCTGTGCCAAATCAAAGTTGTGCATCCATCTGCTGTGGTGACCCCTTGGGAAATAAGGGAGCAGCTGAAAGCACCTTGCCAGTTACGTGAATTCATGCACTGCTTTGAGCTACTTTACAGATTTGTCCACGCATACTAAATTACACTAAAACAGTATCCATGACATTTTCCAGCTGGTGTTTCTTTCCCTTTCAGTGAACCAGACGTCTTTCAATTTTTTATGATGTGTCACCAGTACCATAGAGATGCTGTTGCTATGGCAGGTTTCCCACAGTAGCAAACACTCAGGCAGTTTGCTTCCCCAAAATTGAAAAGTCACTCTGCTCACAGGCTTTCCCCCCCCCCTCGATTTGTTGTTCTTAGCTCACCTGTTGCCATGGCAGCGTTCATATTTCCTACCAGAATAATAGAGCAGCATCATAGAAAGCTGCGCGTAAGCCGATTTTGAAGAAACCTAGAGACTGCATTGATTAACTCCCTGGATCAATCTGGTTTTATGAGCTTTAAATGAACTTGATTTAATGAATGTGACGTAGTAGGAATCCAAGTGCTTGCAATAAAAACATCTTCTGGTGGGAGAAGCAGCTTCAGGGTTGCATTAAACAGAGGTGTAGCTCCAAGTTGAGGTGCTGAATACCAACACTGCAGATGATTCTTAGAAGTGAAGGGACCTTTCAGGGCCAGACCTGTATCTCTATGGATGTAAGTTGAAAATGAGTGGTTTGCTTATGTCAAATTCCTAGTGACTTTTTATAGGTTTGAGGATATCAAAGAATGCTGACGTAACGCCTCATTTAAGCAGCAAACTACAAAACCAGGGAGGTTAAAGTACTGTGTTTTTGTCGTGCTCACCCTTTACTAATGCGTCTGCTGTCTGACGTACACTGTGCTTCTAATGATGCAGTCTCATTTCATTCAGTGAGGGATTTTAGAAAAGTGTAAAGGCTTTGGATTTAGCAGGATGCAGCTCTTTCTGTCTCTTTGCTGTTTAATTCCCTTTTCTCTCACTCGCTCTGTCTCTTTATCTCTTCAGTCTATGATGTTTGATGCACACTGAGATCTTTGGAGCTCCTTTCAGTCTGCAGTGGTGTGTTAGCCTCCAACACTCTCAGCCAGACACACAAACACACAGTCACTGATTTCCAGCCACATACATAACAGGGATTCCCATGTTATTGTCTTTGCATCTCACTTCTGTAATCAATTCTACATGTTTCTCATTTGTAGTCGTTTTGTTTATGAGCTCTTTTGAAGCAATCTGCTTGCAAAAGTTTTGACTATCATGAGGTTTTTCTTCTTGCAGTGTCTTATATTAAAATAAAGCTCATCTGAGTTTATTTTAAAAAGGCTAAAACCTTTCCCCCAAGGGTGAGTGTCTATTTCTGAGATTGTCTAGATTAAAAGCAGAGGACATGTCACAGACAACGCTCCGTGCCTTCATGATATGACATTAATGAAGAAACACACAAACACTGGAAGGTGTTGATTTTACATGAGCTCACTAGCAGATGGGCAGTCTCTCAGGTCTCTGCCTGGAAGAGGAACTCTAACCTTAGTCATTAGACAGTGACTGTCAGCAGTGTCACTGTCACATTTGTGACATGGTAACAAGCATGTCAACTGTTTTCCGGCTGATCTTTGCTTTTTTAACTCAAAGTGTCAAGTTTCAAAAATGAAAGTCTGATTTTTCAGGTAAAAATGGAGTAAACTTCACACATTTCCCTCTAATATTTAATTTGTCTTTAGTCACAATCGTTAAATAAGCTGCCGTAATACAATGAAATCATCCTCTCTGCTTTCTGTTTGCTGCTGCTCCATGGTGACGCAGTTGTGTGAGTGGAGAAGTGGCACATTAAGGTGTCTTAAATTGAAATTAGGCACTTCATCCCAGTGGCCCACGGTGATTCTGTTCATCAGTGATTGCAAATTGAGTGACTAACATCCTCATTCAAACTTCACTGTTTGAATCCCTTTTATCATTCTTTCATCATCTTCCACTTTCCTCTCAGCTGCATCTTCTGCTGGTACTGCACCGATCGAAACAAATAAGCTAAAAGATTTATGTTTGTAGTTTAGTTTTCAGTTCATGTCCACAGGCTGAGAGAGAAGGGCAAGTACAACCTGTCACGTTTGCAGGTTCTCAGTCTGGATGTCTAATGCAGGAGAAAACTGGAGATCAAGTTGAATGGATATGATTTATGCAGGGAAATTTTGCTTGTGATTGCTGATTCTGAATTAATCTTACACAAGCAGCATGCTTGTTGACCTGTGGATGTACCCTTTTCCGTACCCTGAATGTATTGTTTGAGAAAAAGCCTTCCAAGCCATACATTTCTAAGTAGACCCCCCTTCCCCACCCCCAAGACACAAAGGCACTCCTGCACGCTCCATCTCAAGGTTCATGCTGGTTTGGAGTTTGGCTGCTGCTGCTGTCATGAGTATTCTATGTCCACGTAAAAGCACCAGCAGCATGGAAGCAGCTGCTAAAAAGCTTTACTGGAAATGGAAGACACAGAGCAAATAAAGCTGGCTGATAAAAAGTAGGTTTGACAAAAACCTTATGAGGCATGCAGTAAGAATACAGTCCTGTTTCGCTGCAGCAAGACACGCCCCCACTTTTTTTTTCATTAAAGGGAATGGATGCTCAAATAGAATCTGACTTCTGTTCACATGATGAATGTCTCGCTTAGAAATGAAGCTCTGCAGTTGTTCCTTCTCACAGCTGAATACTGATGACCTGAAGATAGGAAAGCATAAAATATTTACAGGCTCACTGTCACCTTGAGACCTCGTGTGCCACACACTGCAGTGATCTTAGTGGGGAATCTGTTGATGAGGTTTGGCTTATTGTTTAGAAGCTGGCTCAGCAATTAGGATTAGAAATGCTAAAGCAGAGCTGAAATGAAAAACAGAAAATTTCCTTCTGCGTAGGTTTAAGACACACTAGCTCTGTAGTGAACTCACATTCCTTTCAACAACTTACTACTTTTTCTGTGTCCACTTTTCAAAGCTACACTGTCTGAGACTGAAACGGGGAACCTCCTTTTAGCTCCTTTCAGCAACTAATTTATTGCAGATTTGAGCTCAGTTCAGATTAAGCTCTTGTCACCGGTGCTAGCTTGTTGCCATCCAGCTTCTCTGGCTTTCCTCCAGTGGCTTCAAAGGACAGTGTGCTCCTGTGACATTATGTAATGGGATTCCAGTTAGGAAGGCAGACATTTGGACTTGAAATCGTCACCATGTCACAAAACTGGAAAAGAGAGCAAAAAGAGCTGCAACTCATAATTATTAGCTAAGACAAGTTTGTTGGTTAGTTAGGATTTCTAAAACAAGCAGTGTAACAAATACTTTAAACGTCTGTTTTTGAATAAGAAGCACATTCTGGATAGAGGATAAAGATTAATGCCTCTTATTGTGATACGTCATTAACACACTCGATATCAGTACTTTGTCTGAACATACAGGCTCTAAATTGATTCATCCAGCGATTAGTTGAACCAAACTTATTTCTATCAGTGTATTTAGAGATTTGTGTTACTCACAGTGTTTTACGACAGCTTGTTTAGCTTATTTTCACTGTTAGCGTTTTGTCTGCTGTCATGTTGTTTCTTTGGAGCTAGTAGTGACCATACTGGGATGACAGGGCTGAGTGCCAGGTTATAATCATCCGTAAACTGTAGACATGCAGTGTGAGACACAAATAACTGTTAATTTGTACTAAGTAGAGTCCAACACATTTATCAGCGGGCTGATATTATAGATTTATTATTTGCTGGTAAATGAAGAGGATGGGAGAATCAGCCTTCCATGTTATCAATGTTGACGTTGCATAGTTTGTCCACCAGAGTGCAGCTTGTCCTGTTGTCGTGACATCTTTTGAATGCCATAATCCACCAGCCGATGGATAACTACACATAAACAGATTTCCAAAATTTTGGAACTTTAGGCAAATCGCGGTCAGTACTGTCAAACTCTAATATTATACACATAAAACACTAAAACTGCACTCAGCAGAACTGAAGCACAGACTTATTGAACACACTGTTAGAATATTAACCACTAAGAAAGTGATATTATTTGTTAGATAGCTGCACCAACAATGCTCCGAAAGAACCAGCACAACATACATGACAGATTTGGAAAATGCCATACAGAGTGAAGCCAACTGGAACTGGACGTGTTGTTGATGACTGACTGCAAGTCTGTGGCAGAATATCTGTATCACAACATCATCATGGCTATAATTCTGACTTTGACATTTTGATATCATGTGTATGAAAGTGATTTGATAGGCATTGGTAGTATTTACTATTAGATTGGTTCTTTTTTGGGAATCAGAAGCCCCTTATAAGATTTGGAGAAGTCTTCAGTATACTATTCATATGACAGCAATCAAGCATACCTGCCCACGGTTCGTGCACCTGGATAGTGTTTTAAAAATAACAGGAATAGAGAATAAGGAGGTGCTGCTGGAACCAGATGAACTTAGGACTTTCTTTATGGTTACAGGTTTTGAGAGAGGGAAGGAGGACCTCTTGCCACTGCCTTTGAAAGAGGACTCTCATTCCATATCTAAGAGCAAGGTAAGAAAACTCACTCCACTGAGCTGATGCACCGTAAAGGCTAAGAAGGAATGATGGGTTGCTTCAGTGTGTAATGAGACCAGAGAATAAGGGAATTACTGCACATCTCCTTTCCTTTTCCGAGTCTAGCCTAAGGCGTGAGAGAGCCTACATTGAGATGAGTCATACATCGCATACGCTGCTAAACATCAAACATTTATCAACTAAAATTCGGACTCGACCCGTCTTTCAAGCGAGCTCAGCGTGGAGGCTCGTCTAGTTTATCTGTCGAGGTCCTCATCAAATATGTCAGTGCAAAAGTGGGTGTCTCGAGACTTCCTCTGAGTCACTGCACAGACACTATGAAATTGTTTTCATGAAGTATGAAGAGATGATGATCCATGCATGATGGTTAATTTAGAGATTAAAAGAATCTTTCACAGAGAGGCTTCCCAGAAGGAAAACAAGAGTTAAAATAATGTGTGTGTGTATTAAAAACATCCAGATGACATCTTAGATGACTAGTTCAGATGCAGAATCAAGCCCAAGCTGTGGTTTACAGCAGTCCTCACAGGAGTCGTACTCTCCGCAAAATAAATCTGAACGTTTGTGAAAAGTACAAAAGCTTTGGAAGGAGGGTTTTAGCTTTGTTGCTTACTATCACGTAACCTCCATCCTGTCACCTACACTGCTTGTGTGTGTGTGTGTGTTTACAGCTTTAAATAGCTCACACAGACACACCTATGTGGCCACTATAGGTCGCTCCGGCTGGCATGTGACGGGATCTGGCAGAGACACACCAGCAATTTTAAGCTTTGTCCTAGTAGCAGAGCTAAGTTGGGTTCTACCATGGAAACGCATGAGCTTGGTCGGAAAAAGATCTGCTAACCTCAAATAATGTCCCCGTGTTTTAGTAGACTGTGTTGGTTGTGTGATTTCAGGTAACCAATTTGTCATTAAGAGGCAAAACTTTGCTGACATTTACGTTTACACTTTACAGACTACATTAGGCATTTTACCGATTTTTCTTTTAGTTGCCTGGAACAGAAATTCCCAGATTACCAGCATTACTATTACTAAGGGTCTTTAAGGTGACCCCTTTGAAGTCTCCAACCTTTCAAGGGTGTGTTAACCGTTAGAATGAACAAACATGTGGCTTAAGAACAGATTTTTCTCATTTGAGTATAAAAATGAAGAATAAAGATCTTGATGTGACATCTCCAAGATCTGCCTTTTCTCTCCTGTGTTCTCAGTCTGAAACAAAGCTGTACAATGGTTCAGACAAGGATGTGTCGGCGTCTGGGGGGAAGCTCACCAAAAAGGAGTCCCTCAAGGTAAGTGAGCTCAAAGCGGCTTAAGTCTTGCGTATCCAGACGCTTAATTCTAAGGGCAGGCATAACGAGTCTTAATGAGGCTCTTTCATGGAGAGTGTTACGTATAGCTCAATCACTGATGCTTGTCAACATGACGATTTACAGTGTTTGTATTCAAACTGCGTGTCATTAGAGGTCATGTTTTTTGTTAAAAGCTCATACTTTTCTTCATGTAACAAATGTCAGAGTGAGTAGGACACAGTATAGTCAAACATGTTGAAAAACACTCAGAGGTGATGATTTTGTCCTTCAAACTTTACTTTAGTCCACCTGCCGCAGGCACAGTCTTGCAGACCTCCGAATATAAATGCGTTTCAGCTCCCACAGCTTGCATTAATTTGATGTGCGCTTTTTCCACACTTTAACCTCCTAAGACCCGAACTCTTCCACGGCATGCATTTTTAATTTCTCTTTGATATTTGGGCTGATTGGGACCTGATGAATGTAAAAATAAAGATTTACCAGATTTTTTTATTTAGTTATTTTTTTTTACCTAATTTTTGTTTCTAAGAATAATGAGAGCCACATATGAGGATATTCGTTTGAAATTTCAATAGAACAGTGGCAGCATAATGTCCTCGTGAGTGGATATCAGGCCCTTGTAGAGCAAAATTGAGTATTTTGGTCTAAATAACCTAAAAATGTGATGTCCACATATGTGGACGCCAGGTCCTAGGAGGTTACAGCTGTACTCACAACAGGCCAATACGGTTGAGATCAGCTGACTGTTCTGGCACACAGAATATCAGTTATCCACAGGATTATAGCACAACACTGGAAAATGGAGTGGATGCAACTCAAACTCTACCTTTAAAGACCTGTAGTAGCTTTCATTTCTGGAAACGGATTACTTTCCTGTAGGCTGAGCTGTAGACGTTAGTCAGACGGATTGCTTCTGTAACCATAAAAACATTGCTTTTGCAAAAGTGCTTTAGGAATTATTGCTTGGAACTGAATTTTGTGAGAACATATTGCAAAGTATGTGTGCTTGGTCTTTTTTTCTTTACTCAGTAGTGTACTGCAGCACTAATTTAATTGGAAAAATACAGTCTAATTAGAATCAGTCTTTTAAGATGATGCTTTAGACCCTAATAATTGATTTCTTTCCGACAAATATTTCTAATCAATTTCATTTTTGGGGGGTTTGTTTGTTTTAATCAAAATCCAGTCGGTACAAATGTTTTCTTTTGGGAAGTTGTGTATGTTGGGCCACACTCTACCTGATGATGTATAGAAAACACAGATTTTTAAACCTGTGGTGCACTGGTGTCATGCACATGTGCAGGCTTAAAGGGAGCCATTAAATGTAAAAGAGTGTACTCGACAGTCGAACAGCACCCTGGTGTTAATGTGACAGGGACACAGAGGAGTGTGATTTCACTCATAGTTTTTGTTGCCAAATGGAATTCAGTGGGAAGCCATGTCCACATAATGATGCCTTTGCATTGTCCCGCCCTCTGTGTTCCCTGTAGGTGCAGAAGAAGAACTACAGGGAAGAAAAGAAGAGGGCAACCAAGGAGCTGCTCAGCACCATCACTGATCCTTCTGTCATCGTCATGGCCGACTGGCTAAAGGTGGCGCATCCCACATTCAGTGTCTGCCTTGTGCTCTATATATTTGCATTGACAACTTGCCCTTAGGCCAGCATAAAATATAACATTACTTTTGCATTAGGAAAAATAGTGTTCCCAGCTGTAACAGTAAGACAAAGAATAAAAGAATCCCTTCAGGTTTTGGTAGCGTTTTTGAGTACCTGACTTTTTCCTGCAACTGTCTGCAGATCCGTGGCACTCTGAAAAGCTGGACCAAGCTGTGGTGTGTGCTGAAGCCAGGCGTCCTGCTCATCTACAAAACTCACAAAAACGGACAGTGGGTGGGAACGGTGCTGCTCAATGCCTGCGAGCTCATCGAGAGGCCCTCCAAGAAAGACGGCTTCTGCTTCAAACTCTTTCACCCCTTGGAGCAGTCCATCTGGGCTGTCAAGGTCAGAGTGGACCTTTAAAAAGCATTAAGTCAGTTATGTAAATGATCCTAATGTAGCATCTTTTTAATTAAATTATGATTTTCAGACACCTTTTTAGAAAACTAACAAATAACTAAGAGAGCAACATAATAAACGCAACACCATCACAATAATCTAGCTAAGTGTAAATAATAGTAAACACTAAATATTGAATGTTATTGTGCAGCAGGCAAGACTGACAGCGCATGTTCACTATTAAACTGTTAGCAGTCGGACGTACCGCCCACGGGACATTGGATGGTTTAGGGGACTAATAGGACTGCTAAGGGGTTAAACACATTGTAACAATTTGTTTAAAGTATGCAGCAAGTGCACAGTTAACAAAAACGCTACAAAACTGTTATTTGCTCAAAAATGGCTCCGTTTGGAATCATCTCTTAAGCCCCGACTGCATTCTACTTCCTATGGAGGTCTACAGGGATTCGTGTACTCAATGAAAAAATCACCATGAAAACAGTTGACATATAGCATTTGATTATGACATGATTTTTCTCAATATATATTTTTACATAGAAGCCTGCATGTGTTTGTTTGCTAGTCATCAATTGCTGGTATTTCAGGCATCTAGCGAGTTTATAAGCTACTTTCTATCATGTCAAACAGCAGGCGTATGATCATTTTTAAACCAGTGTCTGCTGGTTTTGGCTTAATTTTCTTAGAAATTGTTTCGCATTGTTTATAACAGTGTAATCATGAATGCAAAGCCAGACTGGTTCATTATGCAGACAGAGTTTTTCTTGCTGTCCATCGATGAGCAAAGCAGAATAAACTCTTACACATAATTAGGACTGAAAGGGCCCTTCAGTTAAAAACACTCATTTGCCCCCTGCAGTTACAATAGCGAAGCAGATGTGGATGTTAACTGTATAATGAAAGCCATGTCTTTGTTTCATTTAGGACACACACAGAGAAAATTATACCTCCAGCCAGCCTATTTCAGTTTTGGCAGTTCTCATTTTCCATTGTCCCCGTTTTCAGCTCGCCCTGCTTTCGGTCCACTCCAGTAATTTAGTATTCATCGCTGACCTTGCATTTCAAGCCTCATTTTTCGTTTGTTTGTATTATAAAAAAAACAAAACCTTGAATCACAATTACCAGTTTGTTTTGCATTACAGCGTTCCTGCTCTCCACTATTGAAATAAGCACTTCACCGGCTCTGTTTCTGTGCCCTCTATGCTCTCTCATTTGCATAATTACATATCTGTATTGTTTCTGTTTGCGCATGAAATGATGTAAAACGAAAAGAGAAAATATAAAAAACTTGAAATAAAATAAAGAAATCACAATGAAAGACTTTTTAAAAGAAGAAGTAAAACACAGATCAAGAAACTGAGTAACTAGGTGAATGTTTTTAACGTGCATTCCCTTCCTTTCTTTGTGTCTTATTGTTATCAGGGTCCTAAAGGAGAAGCAGTTGGCTCCATCACGCAGCCGTTACCCAGCAGCCACCTCATTTTCCGTGCTGCCTCTGAGTCTGATGGTAGGAGACAGGCTGTCATTTAAAGCCATTTCTCTGACTTTTGTCAGCAGCCGCTTGCTTACACTGACTGATTGAGATAAACTATCAATTTGCATAATATTGGCATTAACAAAGCTGTATTAGTATCAGATGATCTGACAGTGAGTGGCCTTCATTGGAAGAGGCACTGATCATCTTTGTTTTATAAACCATCTGCTATGTTTTGTCTCCAGCACGCTGATAAAGGAGACCTGTTCTGCTCATTTCCAGCCTCATATTTCTTTTTGTCTTAACTACAGTAGATGTGTATGACTCACAGTGCAAATGAATCATTATTTATCTTATATTGGGTCAAGGTGCCTCTGTCTGAAACAAGCATCTGTAGCTGTTTGCCTTCGAGTCCTATGATCGTTCTTCATTGTTTTGTTCTTAAAATAGAACATTTGAACAAAAGGTGGGAAAGGCTTATGTGCTGGTAGACAGAATTTTATTCCTTTTACTCTTTTCAGCTTACAGTGATTTCTTGTACATACACTCACTTTGTTATTTAAAAAGTTTAACATAAAACAACATTTAAATGTGTGTACATGTGACAGAAAGGAAAAGCATAATGGGCCCACTTTAAACAGGAACCGGGCAATCGTGGCCTAACAATGTTAGCATTTCTGGCCACAATCTAATCAAAGGTACATTAACCTTTATTATCTGAATCAGGCTGTTAGAATAATTTGTAATGTAGTTTCCAGGTAGTGATGAAGAAGCAAGGGTGGAATAAGAAATATGGTTAAATGCTCTGTTTGCTTTAATGCCAACATAGGAGACTTTAACTGCGGGTTGAACGTTGAATAAGGTGGGATGTGGAAAGGCTGGAATGGCTGTTTGTTATGAGGGCGGATGTGTGTATATGTGAATCTCAGTTTATGTCTGTGTAAATGTGAGAAAATGAAACAAAAGGAGACTTTGTGATAAATAGAAGGCTGTTCGGAGATACAGCAAGCGTGTCCTCTGTGTCTCTGTCCGTGGTGCTGAAACATCCATTCCAGCCTCTCCATCATCCACTCGGTCCCTCTCCATGGTGCTGAAATAACTCCTGTTTTAGAAAGACTTCCAAAGTGAAAAAGCTTTTTAACTCACCCAGAGTTGATTCTGATGTGTGGTGAGGGGCTGTTGTGATTCACCATGAATAGATTTCATGAAAACAATAATTCACAAAATGGTTTCTGCGTCTTGTTTATCAGCTTAATTCCTGTTTCCAGGCCGATGCTGGATGGATGCCTTGGAGCTGGCCCTGAAGTGCTCCAGCCTGCTGAAGAGGACCATGATCCGTGAGGGGAAGGATGACATGAGCACTGTAGGCACTGGTGGGGAACACTCCATTAATTTCTACAGCCTCCTCAGAGCCCACAACATACACGGTTTCCAGTGAGTAGGAAATGTCATTTACATTAGATTGTAGAGCTCAGCTATTACTGATTTTATGGATTTAAAAATTCTTTCTATGATATTCCCCTGCTTCTTACAGGTTCAATGACAGCGACCATTTGAAAGACCCGGACCTGTACTCGGACAAGTCAGATCGGGAAGGAGAGCAGGACCACGAGGAGTCAGATCCAGAGGGGCTGGAGAAAAGTGAGGAGAGTGACAGCGACACATCAGAGCGTCAGGACGACTCGTACATTGACCTGGACCCAAATGAGCATCTGCGTGAAACCCCATACCTGGAACAGTCCCAGGAAGAGTTAGGAGAGGTATGGAACAGGGGGTGGGGGTGGGAGGCTGCAATTTTGCTCTCCTTTGAACGTCAACAAGAAAAAGCATTGCAGATGAGATGTGATTGTACCACTAGGATACAATCTCCTAGGATTTGTAGCAGCAATTTTCATCTTTAAAACTTCATCTGAAGGCTTGTTTTTGATAAATATTCTCACATAATGAGGAGAAATGAGCATGTTCCTCTGCAGGGCTATTCAGCCTGTAACATGGACGAGCTTTGATCGCAGTGTGCGTGGGTGTCTGCGAGGGATGTGTGGATAAGTGTGAAAGTGAAAACACAGATTTCCGTCCTGATGAAATCTAAACGAGACAGCTCAATAATTAAACACTGACTGAAGCAAAATGTTTACACTCGAGCTAATGAAAGCACCATTTGCACAAAAAGCCATGTGAACTTTGAAGCTTGTGGACATGCATAAAATTTGAAAGTAGCGTTAACAAAAGTAAAAAAAAAGTGACAAGTGTCAATCTGTCATATATGTTACAACAGGACACATGCAATTACTTAACCTGTCTGCTGTTTTCTGACTGTGTCCTCAGGCTGGTGAAGCTGCTCAGACAGAAACTGTATCAGAGGAGAACAAGTCTCTGATCTGGACCCTGCTGAAGCAGGTTCGACCTGGCATGGACCTGTCCAAGGTTGTGTTACCCACTTTTATCCTGGAGCCAAGATCCTTTCTGGACAAACTCTCTGATTACTACTTCCATGCAGACTTCCTGTCAGAGTAAGACATTCCATTTACCTTGACCTTTGTGAAACAGGCTTATCAATTGGGAGTAATTTGATGTGAATCAATGGTAATCGGACTTCAGCCTGCAGATAGTGGCATTAGACTGTAAACAAGTTGGCCTGGCTTTGACTTTCAAAAGAGAGAAAAAAAGAGTGTTTGTGTGATGGAGGAGCATCAGTTCAAGCTTTTGCTTCATTCTCAGGGCTGCAATTGAAGAGAATGCCTATAACCGGATGAAGAAGGTGGTAAAGTGGTACATCTCTGGATTTTACAAAAAGCCAAAGGTCAGCATAGCTTTTCTGCGTCAGCTGTTGGTCACATGTTTTGTATGTACATGACCCTAAAATCATGTTTTTTTTATGGTGCTTTTGAATTCACAGGGGTTGAAGAAGCCCTACAATCCCATTATTGGAGAGACGTTCCGCTGCATGTGGCTCCATCAGAAGACCAATAGCAAGACCTTCTACATGGCAGAACAGGTAACAACAATACTGCTACCGAGAGCTGCCTGATAGGTTCATCTGTTACACTGAATTTGGCTATATGAGGAGTACATATCAGATAATGTTGACAGGGTAAATCGATGACTGACAGTTTACATTATTTATTTTATAGGTATCTCATCACCCTCCAGTATCAGCCTTCTATGTCAGTAACAGGAAGGACGGATTCTGCCTCAGTGGAAGCATCCTCGCCAAGTCCAAGTTCTATGGTACAAACACGCACAGCACACTCACTGTTTAGTGCTGCTCTAATATTACTTTGACATTTTAGCTCTTTGGTCTATTATCTAATTTTGACTATCAGTACTGTTTCATTGTTTTAGGAAACTCGCTGTCGGCTATACTGGACGGGGAGGCTCGCCTCACTTTTCTCAACCGAGGGGAGGACTATGTGATGAACATGCCCTACGCTCACTGTAAAGGTTCGAATGAATCTTTTTCCTTTCACACGTCACTCATGCTGTGTGAACAGTGCTGTAACATCACTGTTCTGTTGGACATCCAAAGCACAGGGGTGGCTGTAGCTCAGGAGGTAGAGCAGGTCACCTACTGATCGGAAGGTTGGAGGTTCGATCCCAGGCTCCTCCAGCATGCCAAGTATCCTTGGGCAAGATACTAACTCCAAGTTGCTCTCCGATGCATCCATCGGAGTATGAATGTGTGTGAGTGTAGTTAGAAAGCGCTCAGTATAGAGGTAGTGCTTGTGAGAATGGGTGTGACTGGGTGAATGTGGCGTGTTGTATAGAGCGCTTTGCGTACTCCGGGAGAGTAGAAAAGCGCTATAAAAGAATCAGTCCATTTACCACATTAGCTTGCAAAAACCTGCCAAATTAACTTTGCTTTGTAGGTGCTGATCTATTTTAGATATGTTTGAGTTTACCTGTAACCTGTGCGTTCTTTTATAAAAACAATCTGCTAGGTATCCTATATGGAACCATGACTCTGGAGCTAGGTGGTCATGTCACCATTGCTTGTGAGAAAACAGGCTACAGTGCACAGCTGGAGTTCAAACTGAAGGTATGGCTTTGTTCTGTAGTTTAAAAAACGTAAAAAATACTTAACTAAAGTACTTATTTAATAGTAGTAAATAGTGTGTAAGGGGAGGCCTTTAGGCTTGTGAAGTCCTAGATTTTGTAGTAACTGTTTAAGACTTTGAAAAAAACTCAGACTCACATGATTTTTCTGAATATCTCCTCCACCCTTCCTGAAAAACATCCCACCCCCTCCAACCACGCCTCGCTCCATCATCATTTACCAACTAGCGACAGGTACTTTTATGATAAAGCAAACAGGGTAGCGAATTTGTAAAGATAGTAAAAGTTTAAGAAATCCATTTATTCAGTAATTGCTGCCCCTCACTTTTATATCCCTAAAGTAGGCAAACAGAACCTTGGGTTTTGTGTACCTTCTGGTACCTTAAACATGTAAGCGATTGCCATTGGCAGTTTCTACAATGTTGTTTTCTTTTAATTGGTCTTCAATGAAAAGCGGTCGTATTAGTAAATTCTCTATGAGTAATAGTCAGTCACAGGATCTTTTTCTCGTACAGTAACTGCAGCAAGTAAACTGCTTTATATCCTTTCCTATTTCTTCTCCTCTCTCCTCTCCCATCCCTTCCTCTCTGCCTCCTCTTCCTTCTCTTTCCTCCATTTCCCGCCCTGTTGTTTCCATTTTTCCTGCAGCCTTTCCTGGGCAGCAGTGACTGTGTTAATCAAATCTCTGGAAAGATCAAGCTGGGAAAGGAGGTGTTAGCTACACTAGAAGGACACTGGGTAAGACGTGTGTCCGTGTTCCTGTAATCACTGCCTGTTTCATAAAAAACACAGATACAACATGTATCTGTATATATTTTGTATTGTGTCTTTAAAATCATTATTGGATTGATGTGTTGACATTTTGCTAATATTAATTCCTTATACAGAAATGAACTATATAACCAGTAATACAAGTTGCTGTGTTTTCTTCTGGTTTAAGAAAAGCTGGCAGATTTTATCAAACTAGACACGACTTTATACCCACAGAAAAAATTAACTTCTTAGTAAAACCTTCCCTTTGTTAGTTGGGTAATGTTTCAAAACTACCATGTTAAAAGCTATTTTTGTACTTTTCCCCTCAGGATAGTGAGATCTTCATTAATGATAAGAAGACTGGGATAGTGGACACTTTCTGGAACCCCACGACGGAGCTGAGGCAGAGCCGACTGACTCGTTGCACCGTCCCACTAGAGGAGCAGGGAGAGTCTGAGTCAGAAAGGTGAGCTTTGATTCGACTATTATCAGAGTATTGACTGTCAAATGTAATAGATTATCTGAAATGCACTTACTACATTGTGCAAAGGTTTGATGCTTCTGCAAACCACTTTGCAACCCCTTTTGCCGGAGTATTGCTGCTGCTTCTGGATCAGAGCTACACAGCCAAATCCATGTTACTGCACATGGAACTGTAGCTTTGTTTGAGCTGTAGTGGTCCTGATTGAAACAAAGAGTCTTATCTTTTAGTCTTTCATTAATGCTTTGTTTTTCCTTCTCAATCCGGCAGACTGTGGCAACACGTGACACGAGCCATCAACAACAAGGACCAGACCGAAGCCACCAATGAGAAGTTCATACTGGAGGAAGCTCAGAGGAAGTCGGCGCGTGAGCGGAAAGCCAAATGTGAGGAGTGGAGTCCTGCCCTGTTCGAGCAGGACCCCATCACCGGAGAGTGGCATTACAAATATGCCGAGTGAGTGACTCCTCTGTTGCTCGTAAGCGGGTGTAGTTTGAAATCACATTAAATTCAACTGTGTGTTTAATGCAGATAAGAAAGCGCTGAGGTATGAGCTTCATGCATGTCTCTGCTGGGAGATACCGACAAAGCAGAGCTGGTGAAACTGTAGTAAAAATGACAAAAAACAGTTAAGCTTGTGTTCTGATGTGTTCACCTTCTGCTGGCGTCATTGGAGACAGAATTTGCATGCACTGGACGTCACTTCTGGAAGTCTTTTACAAGCGTATTTGCAGTCAGCTGGTTTTAAATAGATTTCCCTCTAAAGGTACATTTTATTTTTTGCCTCAGTCTCGGAATTTTTTAGTGTGGCAGGCTGCCATCTAGTGGTGATCCCCTATATGCATAGATGATGTCCAGTTTACAGTTATTTACTGTTATAATGAGAATGTTTTTGTGTGTAAGATACAGTATGCCAGATGAGAAAGAGGAAAACTGTGAGCGGTATTTATATCAGAAAAGTTATATTTATCCCTCTTCTTTTTCATCCTTACTGTGTTTCTTCGTCTCTATCATCCTTTTCTTCCTCAGCACAAGGCCTTGGGATCCACTCAATGACCTGATCCAGTTCGAGAAAGATGGCTGTATCCAGACCAAGGTCCGACACCGCACCCCTATGGTACGTTCTGGCAGTCTTATTAGTCTGAGTAACCAGGGGCCGCGGAGGGACAATTGCAAATGCCAGGTAGGTTGTCCAAATCGAAAACCGCTGTGAAGCAATGCATCTCGCCGTCTCAGCCATCTTCCATCCATGCATCTCAAAGCACCCTGCGCACCACCTTCATTGTGACTTCTCTGTGTTGTCTTCGCGGTGCTGCCACCACCATCGTCGCTTCTGCTCCACTTTATTGTGATGTTTTTTTTCTTAGTGCCACCACCTTTATTTTTACCTTTCTTGCTGTTCACTCTCAATGCGACGGAAGGTCTTGTCAGACTGCATGCTGTAGTAACTGGATGACAAGGCATTCTTCCTTTGTTCACTCTGAAGAGACGAGCATTGTTCAGCATGAAGGAGTGCACGAGCAGTATTTGGAAACATTGTTTGGCTGCAGGCTCTTCCACACGTTGTGAAATTTCAGAATAGTATTAAAAAGTTCAACAGAAAGCAGCAAAATTCTTCCACATGAACAAAACATCACTGCTGGAGCTCAGACTGGAACTTTTACTGTTATTTAGCTCTTTGTTTTGTTTCAGTAGGTGGCTACTTCTCCTGATAGCTACGTTGTGCACAACCTATCAGCACCAAATAACACTCAAAAAGTTAGAATCTCATTTAACTTAGCGTAATAATTCATGGTTAATTATTTATTTTAGGATGTGGAGGAGACCAAAACAGAGATAAAAGGAGAAAAACTTTAGTTTTCTAAAATTTGCAAAACGTGAAAGTGGTCATTTCCTACATTACACCCAAAAGCAAGAACCATTTCATCCTCATCAGTCTAATCCTGATCGTCACGCCTTCCTCACCCAACTCCATTCTGTTTTTGTGCAGTGTTTGTTGGACTCTTAAATTCGCTAGTTACTCGTAAGAAGAGGCTAAAGGTTTCTGTGGACCAGTCAGTCTGGCCTCTTTGCATCCACATGTGTTCAGAGTAACCACCTGCCAGGATCTGAAGTTTGTCCCTGGTGGATAAATCAGTCACCATCAGTGCTTTCAGGCTTTTGCTTAGCTGTTGCCAAATGTTGTCCAACAGGGCTGACGCTGTCCCCCGGTTGGAGTCAGTCACGCTTCTGTTAGGCAAACTTTGACATGCTTTTCTATGGCCCAGATCTTTACCTGGCAGAGTTAAACATCTGTGGAAGAAATGATTTGAATAAACAAGCTCAAGGCAGGTTTGTTCATTTGGGATGCTGAGTATGTGTTTTTTGTTGACCAGTTGAAATTAGCCTAACAGCATGCCTCGCACAACCGCCGTTTGCATCAACACTAAATAGCATGTTTGTCTGTGTGTTTATTTTGGATTTGTCAGTCCAAGATGCTGAAATTTGCCTTCTTTTCTGACACGCTTGTGTATTTATCCACACATGTGCCGACAGGTAACGGTGCCAAAGAGGAAACACAAGAGTGACAAGCCCAAGAGTCCAGAGAGCGGCTGCTCCTCACCTGAACCCGACCACCAGGACTCATCCGGCAGCGAACGTGAGCCACACACACTAAAACTCACATCTCAACACGCACATACGCAGGCTGAACAGTCAATATAGTCAGTCAACAATGTTCATTGACAAAATTTATACCTACAGCTGTGAATTTATTCATCTAAATGTCTGTTGTTGCTCTTGTTAGATGAGGAATTTGTGATACAGGTAATAAAGGGTCTTGATGACAACAGCTTTGCATATGAAGATGTTGCTACTGATGAGAAATTAGACTTTGTGACACACCCATGAATCATATGACTCGTGTACAAACGCTTAGAAGCAGTCTGACTTAAATACATACATCTGCATTATGTAAGTGCCCATGCGTCTATGGTTTTAAACTTGTTTTGCTCTACTTTATCACAGGACACAAAAGCAAGCATAACAATCGGCTGAGGAAAAAAGGAGCAGACCTCAGCGAACTTCAAAGTGCCATTGAATCCATAAAGCAGACGCAGGAGGACATTAACAGGTGGGAAGTATAAGTCACACTGTGAGGCGACTGTGGTAATACGCTGGACCTTTTAGCACTCACACGTAGCATCTGTGTGTTTGCAGGACCATCACCGTGCTGCGGAGTCGTGCTGCGAGTCGGGTGGAGGGCAGCTCCTTCCTCCAGCAGCGTGACTACATCATCATCATTTTTCTCATCTTCCTTCAGGTCCTGATCAACTACATCTTCAAGTAGCAGCCATACTCCCAGAGACAGTGATGTCCTCACACAAACACGCCCTCTGAGCTTCATGGGGGCGGACTCAGACTTTGACCTCTCACAGTTAGTGACTTCAACAGTCCTCTCCAACTCTCTTCTCCTCTGTCTTTATTAGACTCACTTACATGTATCCAGAAAAGCAGACTCTTCAACACAAAGAGAGACTTTTTAAAACATATTTATTTGGAACCAGTCTTTTGGAAAATCTGGAGAGATCCTCAGATTTCAAAGTGGAGAGGAGCAGCGGTAAGGAGAAGTCAAAGGCGAGAGTTTGGTGTGAATAAATGTTGACTGCCACCTGGAGGCGTGTTGATTTGCCTTGATGTAAGCGGCAGAGACAGCAGCCATTTTTAACCTGTTGTTTGTTTGTTTTTCTGATGGAGTGAAATCACTCTGTCGGTTCACATTTCACCTCAAACAGGTAATCGTTTACCACACAATCAAGGACCACAACTCAGATCGTAACAGAGGACAAATAGATCTCTGATTTTAATGTTTTTGTTTTTATTCTTTTGCGTCTTCACTTCGCGTATCCTTTGTGAGTTGATGTCTGCTCAGAGCAGAAAACTAGCGATGAGGGAGACGGGGCTGGGGGACGCAGTCCAGTCTGTGGGACTTTTTTTATTGTAACGGCTGGAGATTCCACACGCGGAAGTGGCAACCGCGACAGAAAACTCACAAGGGACATTGTCGTAAGGAATTAAAGCTATAATTTCTGCTGTATAATAAAACTCCACATTTTGCATACAAAGTCAGTGTTTAAAAGAAAAGTCAGACATTTGACACAATGTCAGTGTATACTGTAGGTAGCATGTACAGACAGGAGCAAGGTTAGGACACTAGCCCTATGTATTTTGTATTTTGTTTTAAGGCACAAATGCACTGGAAATGTCAGATGTTTGTATGATTTATACACTTTTTATCTGTGGACATGAAAATGCTTTTACACTTCTTTCTCATCAACAGGAGGAAAAAAAGATGCATTTCTTTTGGCCGTTTCAGTGATCACTGCCCTAGATTTCAGGTAAAAGCAGGTGACATGTTTTTATCTGAGAGCTCACTGTAAGAAGCTGGATTTAGCAACTCTAATGAGTCAGCCAGGCTGAATGATGTAGTCGCTCCTCTCAATGGAAGAGCGCAGGAATTAACTTGACTTTCTTTGCCGAGATAAGCGATGGGATTGGCCAGCAGCTGCTTGGTAAAAAGAGCTAGCGTGGGTAATGGTCTGACCAGAAAAGCTCACTAGTCAACATGTTTTATCTTATTGCTTTTGCACAAAAACCAAAGTGTATAAGAGTCCATAAAACCAGCAGGGGACCTGAGCGGTTCCCTTCTGTGGCTCAGAATTGGTAATAATCCACCAGCCTTCAAAGAGCTGGTCAGCTCTTTAGAGCCCCCTTTGGTGGTATTTGATCTTCTTAATCTAACATACAGCAAAAAACTGAGCGGGTATATTTCCCAAACTGAGCTGGGACTACTCCTTCAGAGAAAATATTAAAATTGCATACATGAGCTGGCCTAATGGTCTCTATATGTGAATACAGCCTCCAGATCAGGCTACAGTTGAGCAAAGTTGCCACTTCGTGCAGCGCCTTCATGACGAGTCCAGTTGAGAACATCAGTCACCTCGTTCCAGTGCTTTTGAGCCCCAAATACTAACCAGGACAACTACAGTAGACTCTTTAGTAAGTTACTAGTAAGAGGAGGATGTAGACTCCTAAACCGTCTTCATAGTAAACCATTCCAAACGTACGCAAGTACCAGCCAAGCTCAGTGTGTAGCGTAGGAGTCGATCCTTTTCACTGTGTAAATATCTAACGGCATTTCAACACCGAGGTTTGCAATACAGACACTCGCTCTGTGCACAAACCATTGCTTTTAACCTTGTGTGTCAGTCTCTCCACTGCTCTGTAGATACAGAGGGATGTAGGTCGATACAAAAAAGAAGTTAATATTGGGATGCACAATTAGAACTCCCATTTAAAAAAAGAGAGAGAAAAAAGGATCCCAGGGACCTCGATGTTACAGAGGTGTAGAAGTTACATTGCGGTTCTAGTCTGTTGCCTTTGTCTTTGGACGTGCGGATGCTGAAATTAGTCTCAGAGATGGTTCGAATGACCCCCGCACTCATCCAGCTTTACAGTTTAAAAGGTTACAGCCCTGTGAGGACTGCGTTTAGCATTACCGCACATAAAAACAACTCCCAGCAATCTGCTAGCAGTAGCAGTGGTGTAGTCATATGTGATTGATTCGAGGATGAAGGCAGCACATCAGAACCCCGCTACCTGACCTTCTGACAAACAGCGTATCAGGTGCTAGTAAGTAAGACCAGTCTAGGCCATTCAGAAAGATCCAGACCGCTTTGTGGACCATAGCTGAACATTTTGTATATCTCTTCGCCTGTCATGATGTTAGCCTTGTTGAAGTTTACATATTTGATTGCCTCCGCCGTCAGCAGACTGTTAAGCGATTTGTAACTCCCACACAGGTATGAAGAAGGAATGGTAGCATTGGCAAGAGCCAGCT